CATTAATTTTTGATGTGGTGATCCATGATCCATTGTTTTCGTAGAACACCCAGTGCTCCATGCAGTAGAGCACCCAGTTTTCGTAGAACACCCAGTGCTCCATACAAGTGCCCTCCTTAATACCCATCACCAGGCTAACCAATTCCCCCTCCCCTATTTCTTTTATTCTTAAAAACCTATTTATCTCAAGGCCTTATCTATTTTTTATTCACAATTGTGGTTTCTCTAATTTGGTTTATTTCTGAAATGACTTTTGTTTCTACATTTTTCCCAAGTTCTAGCTTACTTATGAGTTTCAAATTCTGATTTATATTGTTCTTCATAACTTTTATCATTCTCTTATTTATTTTACCTCATTTAGAAATAGTAGGTGTATCATCCAGTGTTCTCACAGAGAAACAAAACCAATAGAATTTATACATATGTATAATAAGAGATTTATTTTAGGAAATTGTCTCATGTGATTGTGGGAACAGGTGACTCTGAAATCTTTAAGTCAGGCCAAGGGGTTGGAAATTCAGGCCAGAGTTAATGCTGCAGCTTGAAGCAGAATTTCTTTTCCAGGAAACCTCAGTTTTCTCTGAATGCTTCCAAGTGATAGAAGAGGCCCCATCCACATTATCAAAGGTATTCTCTTTTACTTAAAGTCAACTGATTGTAGATGTAAACCACATCATAAAATATCCTCACAGCAAGACTTATGTCAGATTAAATAACTGGGTGCTGTAATCTAGCCAAGTTGATACGTGAGACTAAACCTCATATTAAGTTGTAGCTTTCATTTATTTATTGGGTATATTCTTACAGAGATGTTATTCTGCTTTGTATTTTCTTTTTCTTATAACAACTGTGTGAAATTAGACTGTGATCCTTTTTCTGTTGCTTTTTTTTTTTTTTTACATGAAATAGATTTTCCTGATCTTTAAGGCAGGTTGGGTCAAAATAACTTTTCTAACTTCATCACTTTAGAGTTACCTCTTCTCTTGTTTTGTAAAGTGTCCAAAAATAAGGCTAATACTTTTTGAGAGCTCCAGATTCTGTTTCCTTCTGTCTTTCATCTGTAGTTTTTGTTTCCTTTGTCTTTATTGTCCCTTTCCAGCTCAGTTGGGATTCTTTTCCCTTCATTACAGATCCTTGCCCTAGAAGTTATCTTTAGGTCCTTGGTTTTGGTGTTCATAGATCCCAGTTTCTCCTGCCCTTTCAAATATTATCATGGACCTCTTGAACTTAAACTTAGAAATTGAAAAGTACAACAACCTCTCTGGTGAGAGTTGCTGTCTTCCCAGTGTCCTGCCATGGTTTCCAATGAATACCTATCACTGATTTAAATGTTCTTCTCTTCTAAGGTCTACCATATTTGCTTTCTTTTGCTGCCTTATGCTGATATCATGTGAGTCTGGTTGTTTTAGCTGGCTTGTTCCAACCCACTTATATTTTGGGATTTTGAGGAATACTTTGTCACTAAGTTTTATTGTTGACATTGTCCAGTGTTGTTTTGTTTGTTTCATTGGTACTACCCTAATTATCTTCTCTGTGCCTACAAGGAAACTGAAGTAGATTCAAAAACTACATCACCACTAACCCTTCCTAATTTGTTTTCTTCTGTAAATGCCTCTTTTTGTATCCTTCCTTTTACTTTTTTGGGTTTTCTCTGTTGTTATTTTATTAGCATCTTATACTGAAAACCAAGTTTATTCACTTTCAACCTACCTTATTTCTTCTATATGTATTTAAGGCTATAAATTTCATTTTAGGAATTATTTATACTATATGCTACAAGTTTTAAGAACATTGAATGTTTTTATTCTTTATTTATAAATATTTTGTAACTTTCATCATGATTTCTCCTTTACTTCATGAATCATTCAGAAGTAAAGTTTGGGTTTTTTTTTTTCTTTAAGAATTATAAATACCTTAAGATTTTTCTGGCTAACTTTATGAGAAATTCTACTTTTATTTCATTAATATCAAAGGCATAGTATGTGTGATGATAATTTTTTGAGATTGGCTGAGACTTCTTTTGTAAATATGATCAATTTTGGTAAAAGTTCTATGTGAGATTGAAAAGAATATATTTTATTTTATATTGGCTAATTTTATAGGTTTATCTATAGTTTGAGAAAAATGTGTCAAAAATCTACCACTATATTTGTGGCTTTTAAGTTTTTCCTGGTACTTTCATCAAATTTTGCTTTATATAGTCTATAGGTTCAATGCAATCCCTATCAAAATACCAATGACATTTTTCATAAAATTAGAATAAATAATACTAAAATTTGTATGGAACCACAGAAGACCCCAAATAGCCAAAGCAATGTTGAGAAAGAACAAAGCTGGGGGTATTACAATCCCCAATTTCAAGATAAACTACAGAGCTGTAGTAATCAAAACAGTATGGTACTGGCACAAAAATAGACATGTAAATCAATGAAACAGAATAGAAAGCCCAGAAATAAACCAGTGAATATATGGTCAATTAATCTAACAAAGGGTGCTAGACTATCCAATGCAAAAAAGACAGTCTCTTCAATAAATAGTATTGGGAAAACTGGACAGCAACATGTAAAAGAATGAAACTGGACCACTTTCTTACACCATACACAAAAATAAAATAAAAATGGATTAAAAACCTAAACATGAGAGACCTGAAACCATAAAAATCCTAGAAAAGTGCACAGGCAGTAATTTCTCTGACATCGACCACCACAACATTTTTCTAGATATGTCTCCTGAGGCAAGGAAAACAAAAGCAAAAACAAACTATTGGAACAACATCAGAATAAAAAGCTTCTGCACAGCTTTTTATAAACCATCAACAGAACAAAAAGACAACCTCCTGAATGGGAGAAGATATTTGCAAGTGACATATCTGATAAAGGGTTAATATCCAAAATACATAAAGAACTTATACAACTCAACATTGAAAAACCCCCAAATAATCCAGTTAAAATAGGCAGAAGACCTGAATAGACATTTTTCCAAAGAAGACATACAGATTGCCAACAGAGACATAAAAAGATATTCAACATTACTAATCATCAGGGAAATGCAAATTGAAACCACAGTGAAAATATCACCACACACCTGTGAGAAGGGCTAAAATCAAAACCACAATAAATAACAAGCGGTCATGAAGATGTGGAGAGAAAGGAACTTTTGTGCACTGTTGGTGGGAATGCAAACTGCAGCCACTGTGGAAAACAGTATGGAGGTTACTTTAAAAATTAAAAATAGAGGGACACCTGGGTGGCTCAGTCAGTTAAATGCTCAGCTCTTGGTTTCTGCTCAGGTCATGATCTCAGGGTGGTGGGATCGAGCCCCGCTTAGAGCTCTGCACTCAGCATGGAGTGTGCTTGAGATTCTCTCCCTCTGCCACTCCCCTTGCTCAAGCTATCTCTTCTTTTCTCTCTCTCAAATAAATGAATCTTAAAAAAGTTAAAAATAGAAATACCAGATAATCCAATAATTCCACTACTGGGTATTTACCCAAAGAAAATTATGCACCCCTATGTTTATTGCAGCATTATTGACAATAGCTAAGATACAGAAGCAACCTAAGTATCTATCAATAGATCAATGGATAAGGAAGATTGCTTATCAAAAGATGAGTGGTTAAGAAATACACACACACCCCAGAGTATTACACAGGCATACCAAAGGATGAGATCATGCCATTTGAAACAACATGGGTGGATTGAGACGGTATGTTAAGTGAAATAAGTCAGACTGAGAAAGACAAATACCATATGATTTCACTCATAAGTGGAATCTTAAAAAACAACAACAGCAACAACAAATGAATAAACAAAAAGCAGAATCAGACCTGTAAATACAGAGAACAAACTGATGGTTGCCAGAGGAAAGGGTGATGGTTTGGGTAAAATGGGTGAATGGGAGTGGGAGATATAGGCTTCCGGTTATTAAATGAATTAAGTCAGGAGAATAAAAGACACAGTATAAGGAATATAGTCAATGAGAGTGTAATAGCAATGTATCAGCACAGATGGTAGCTACACCTGTGAACATGGCATAATATAAAAACTTGTGCAATTACTATGTTGTACATCTAAAACTATTGTAACATTGTATGTCAACTATACTCAAAATTTTTTTGCTTTATATATTTCAGGGTTATGTTATATCTTCTGGTGATTTTCTCTTTTTCTTATACACTGTCATTAATCCTATAATTTCAAATTTATGAGATAGCTGGTATCATAATCCTCATTTTACGACGAAAAACACTGAAGCAGTATTTACAGATGTATATCTACATGAAATTTGTACATATGTTTGTGTACATAATTGTTACTATAAAGGTGAAATTGGGTTCCAACCTTGGCTTAAGAAGAGGACCAGGGATACCTGGGTGGCTCAGTCAGTTAAATGCCTGACTCTTGATCTCAGCTCAGGTCTTGATCTCAGGGTTGTGAGTTCAAGCTTCGTGTCGGGCTCCACACTGGGCCTGGACACTCCTTAAAAAAAGAGGACCAATGTTGAGACTAAGACTGATGATGTTAGAAAGTGGATTAGTATCCTTCAAAAGGGGAAATAACTTATAAATGAAAGAATGTGGAAGCAGAAAAAAATAAGGAATAGGGAAAATGTGACTGATGGAAGTTATAGTGGTAGAGCCCCTGATATGCAGAGTAGGACCTCAGAATTTACCATGACTTGTTTTTAAGTGAAGGACCTTTTCTCACTAATTTTTCTTTATCCTTAGAATCTACTGGAGTGCCAGTCAACTGCTAGACACCTGATAGATTATTTTTGACGTAAAATAAAATAAGAATCATGGTTTTGGGGGGGAAGACATCTGAAGTGTCTTGGAAAAGTTATTTTTCCTTTTTCACATTTCTTTGTACAATTTTAAAGGAATCAAATTTTAGTTATTTTTTTTTTATAGTAGGGACCCAGGAACTTGAGCCCTACATCAGAGCACTGAGATAAAAATTTTGAAGCAGATTTTTCTGTTTGAACTATTTTACCTTCTTTTTTAGATTAAGTTAGAGTATGAAGGAACATTATTTTCTGAGTGGAGTGTGCCAGCAACTTGTTCTGTGAAAAATAAAAGGTAAGATTTTTGCTGTGAATGTCAATATATTGTGTGCATTTACACATAAAAACATATTCATATAGTGTAGACATTCAGATTCAGGGCTGCATTTGAATGCAAATTTCTTCCCATCACATGGATGTGAAAAGAAAGACAAAATCTCTTTGAAAATAGGATAGAAGTAAAATATTGCTATATTTTTTATTTTTCTTATTAACATACAATTGATGTTTTTAGGCTTAAAAAGTAGTAGGGGGATTTTTACTAATCTTGCATGTATCTATGCTTATTTATCTTCCTGTTCTTTTTAAATACTAGCTCACCCAAGACAGAACTGCGTTGTTTTTCTCCTGGTGTTCAGACTATAAGACCAATTGTCACAGGCCCAGTAAGTTGATTTTAATAAGTTATTAAACCTTGCATAATTATCTCCATTACATTTTATATTCCTTATTTTGAACTTTTAACCTGTTTTAAATAGTGTGTTAAGTATGAATAATTTATAAATAAGTATAAATAAATGTTAAATATAAATAAATAAGAATAATAAATATAAATATTGTCAATATGGCAATTTTCAGATATATCTCATAGCAGATTATAAGTTATGAAATGAGGGGCACCTTGGTGGTTCAGTTGGCTAGGCATCTGCCTTCAGCTCAGGTCATGATCCCAGGGTCCCGGGATGGAGCCCCGAGTTGGGCTCCCTGCTCAGCATGGAGTCTGCTTCTCCCTCACTCTCTCCCTCTGTGTGCTTTCTCTCTCAAATAAATAAATAAATCTTTAAAAAAATAAGTTATGAAATGATATGTGATTTTTACATTAGCCTTTTCATCAAGTATGTTAAAGCCCCATTTACCACCTTAATGATAATAGTACTCCCCACTGAGTGGGTCTCATGTCATATACTTTTATGACAATTCCTTGGATTAAAAGCCATTTCTAGCAAGTTTGTTTTTACTATATTTTCTTCAATTCCAGAGAGCATATGCGAATGCAAATACATGAGAGGGATGTTGAATCCTCTCTCATTTACAAAAAGAAAAAAAGAAAAAGTTAAGCATTAAAAACATTGGCTCTCTACTAATGAGTAACAAGTACTAGCCATGCACCTCATAGCTGATATTCCCATACAAGTGTGTCTAAAGCTACTGCTAGAGAGACTCCCTGTGACAAATCTTGTCTTTATTTTGGGGATTGAGCCTTCTTTTTAATTAATAATCTTTATTTTCAGAAAATAAATAGAGTGATGTGGGAGAGGCCAGATGAATATTAATTAATTCATTTTTCCAAAACTTGTAGATTGAAAAATATTTGAATTTCGCTTTTGAGTTTATGAATATTTACCAGGTTCATGGACAAAATTCCTAAGCAAGTAAAAGCTTACTCCTTTTCCTTTTGTTGTATGTTGGAAGCCCAAATGTGCAATGTTATATAGAAAATATGTACACACAAATACATGCATATATAAGAATATCTTTGTCATTTATGTATGGTGCCATCAGATCTCACAACTTTTAAGGATATACATGTAACTTTTGAAATATACTCAAAGGCACTCAGATACAACAACCAAAAATGTCTCCAATGTCCCCTGGCGAGCAAAATCATCTCTGATTCAGAACCATTACAGAAGAAAATTAACTGAATTGTGTTTCAGTGAGCAAGACTGTCTAGGAAAACTATTTACCTTTATACACTCAAAGAGAACACTTCTATTACCAGATGTGGTGTGGGGGCTTGGTTTCCATACAGACTATTTCTGACACCAGCAGAGTGTCCTACAATTCAGAGTTCTGGCATTTTCTACATGGAGTAACTTCACATCCCACAAGTTAAGGGCTCAGTCCCACAAGACTGCCCCACTTCACATGACAATTGCAAGTTCCAGTTTATCACCTAACTGACTGGCTATAAATCCAGGTTCCCACAACCTTCTCCTCAGGTTCAATAATGTGCTAGCACAGCTCAGAGAACTCAGGGAAAAACATTTGCCGGTTATAATAATAAAAGATATGATAAAGGATACAGATGAGCAGCCAGAAAAGAGGTACCTAGGGCAAGGTCTGGAAGGGCCCTGAGCACAAGAGTTTCTGTCCCTGTGGAGTTGGACTGTGTCACCCTGCCAGCATGTGGATGTGTTTACCAACCTGGAAGCACTCTGATTTTTATGGGGGCTTCAACACATAGGCATGATTAATCAACTCATTTTCTACTCCCTCTCCCCTCTCCAGAGGGTGGGAAGTTGACCTAAAGCTTCCAAGCTTCTAATGATGGCTTGGCCTTTCTAGGGACCATCCCATCCAGGAGCCCATCCAGAGTCGCCTCATTAGAATAAAAGGAGCTCTACGTCAGACCCTCCTGTCATTCAGCAGATTGTAAGAGTTGTAGGAGCTCTGCGTCAGGCACCAGAGTCAAAGACCAAATATTAGCAGGAACGGGGTGCAAAGACTCATATGTACATGTTTCATGATTTCACAGAGACAAATATAACAGAAGGGCGCCTGGGTGGCTCAGTTGTTAGGCGTCTGCCTTTGGCTCAAGTCATGATCCCAGGGTTCTGGGATCAAACTAGGTATCTGGCTCCCTGCTCAGCAGGAAGCCTGCTTCCCCCTCTCCCACACCCCCTGCTTGTGTCTCCTCTCCTACTGGGTCTCTCTCTGTCAAATAAATAAATAAGATCTTTAAAAAAAATCCTGCTTAAAAAAAGACAAATATAACAGAAATAATAAGCTATCTAAATTTGTCACTCATGACAAATTAAATTCTTTTTTTTACAAATTAAATTCTTAATTACAAGGAGTAGCTAACAATATTCATTAGTTCTATTCTGAAATTTGTTCATTATACTTCCTCTGATCTTAGATAATTAATTTAGTTCCTCTGTGACTTTTATGACTATATCCAAATTTGTATTTATTTTAAAGTTACCTTTATATACCATAGTTTATTGTCCATTTGCTTTCAGGATTCAGAGGAAGAACGCAATTTGTCTGTGGACAGTTCCCATATTTGTTTCCTGTGGTATTATAAAGTCATGTAAGTAATGTAATACTGAATACAAAGATAACTAATGCTTTTTTTTTAAGTCCGAAGGCAGACATTTAACGACTGAGCCACCCAGACACCCCAATTAATGCTCTTTAAGAGTATTTAGCTTTGGGTACCTGGATTGCTCTGTCAGTTGAGCATCTGCCTTCAGCTCAGGTCATGATCCCAGAGTCCTGGGATCAAGGCCAACGTGGGGCTCCCTGCTCAATGGGGAGTCTACTTCTCCTCTGCTCTTATCCCCTGCTCATGCTCTCTCTCTCTCAAATAAATAAATAAAATATTTTTTATTTAAATATTTAAATACTTTAACTTTGAATTAGCCACAAATGGATTATCTGCATTATTATTTTCATATAAGCTTTTCATTCACCAACCAAGATATACTCAAATAAGATGCCAAACTAATATTGGGGAACAAACATTAAAAATAACAGTAGCAACCACTATTTGAACTTATACTTCTAAGGTTCAGACTTTATGTAAATTATCTCTCTCAATTTTCATAACAAATGCACAAATGTAAGTATTATTATCTTTATTTTATGAATGAGGAAATGTGAGCTTGGATAGGTTAAATAATTTGGATAAAAATACACAGCTACTAAAAGATAGCACTGGGATTTGACTCTGGTTTTTCAGACTACTGGGCTTTTTGATTTCCATTGCATACATCCTGTTCCAAAAGAATACTCTTTGTTTTGGATGGTTTCTCAAACCCATTTTAACATGAGAGTGAATGAACATAACTAAAAAGAGAAAACTGGCACAAGGGAAGATAATTAACTGCATTATAAAATTATTTGACAAGTTAAAAGCATCAATGAATCCAAATATTCTTCATTGTCAGAGTCAAGGCAGTATCCTAAGCCCTGTATAGGATACAAACAACTGTCTTATGTGGCCCTTGCTCTCCAGATGACTATGATACACGTATTTTTTTTTTTTTGTCTACTTAACTTTCCTTCCTTTGGGAGAATTATCCCTCCCCTATTCTGTGATGAAATTAATTTCGTGTGATTGATATGGTACTAACTTCACAACCTCACATTTCATGGGCCACAGTAATTAGTTGAGGATTAACACATGACTCAGGCAGAACCAATCAGAATACTCGTGTCTTCAATAAAAAGCATGGTTCTTGCTGATGGTTGTCTTGGTTTACATGGTCCATTAAAGTCAGGTGGCTTGACAGTTTCTGTGCACTTTTTGGATCGAAGTCCTGATAACTAGATTTTAGCAGGCCCTTCCAGGGGTACATATTTAGGCATTCCTCTCCAAATTATTACCACCTTCCCAGAGTCTTACCAAGAAGCAAGGACTGAGTCTCTGCTACTCCTGAAACTGGCAGACTTCTGTCCTTGTTGTGGGTTTCAGAAATGCCAATTACCAGGTTTCTCCTGTGGATTTTGAACCAACTGGGAAATAGACAAGGGAAAATGTGGGGATAAAAATTCCTGATACAGCTGAACGGGAGAATAGAACCTGCTTCTCCAGCCATATGGGCTATTTTCTGCTTCCCCCAAGTAGAGACCATGGGGGACCATCAGAGAAGAGAATCTGCCAAAAAAGCATTTATAGACAGTTTCCGACATTTCCAATCTCATACATACTGAGCCCCAAGACCTGGTGAAAGAGATGGGTCTCCATAACCCTGATCTGGTTATGGATAATGAAAGCAAAATCAGAAGAAGCATTATCCAGGGGGACAGGTTAGCCCAAAAGAGAGAACTCAGTGGGAGCTAAGTGTTTTTCTGTTACATAGGTGGTAAAAATGTTCACAATCTGTCACCTGTAAAAATACCATTTAAAGAATAAGATGAAACTAATATCCAGGTATTCATCACACAAGTCAAGAAATAGAACATTATAGGTACCCTAAAATCTGCTACTTAGAAATGCAGAATCTGGGGCCTCATTCCCAAGCTCCTAAATCATTATGTGCATTTTAACAAGATCCTATAGACATTGTATATACATTACTGCTTAGGACGTACCACTCCTAGTGGGACATACCACTCCTAGTGGGACATACCACTCCAAGTAGAATTGACTAGAAGTAGGATATGCATTTGTTCAACTTTACTAGTTAATGCCTAATTGCTTTTTGAAAAGATAGTTCAAATGTACACCTCCACCAGCTGTGGATAGAAGTTCCCATTGTGCTGCATCCTCACCAACACTTAATATAATCTGACTTTTTAATTTGCCAATCTAGTAGATGTGAAATTATATCATTGTGCTTTTAATTTGCATTTCCCTGATTACTATTGAGCATATTTTCAGTTATTCATGAGGAATTTTTCTTTCCTCTCTGTAAAATGAACATTTTTACCCATTTTTGAGTTATTTTTATGTTCATAATAATTTATAAGATTTCATTACATTTTAATTACTAGGACATTATCTATACATTTCAACATGTATATTGAAGGAGTTCTATCCCAGTTTATGTAGCTTTTCACTTCTTATGATCTCTATTGATAACTTACATCCTTCCTGTTGTAGAGGAATTTATCAACTCTTACCTTAATGGGTTTGTGAGTTTTTAAATCAATTTAAGAAATCTTTTGCTCTGAGTTCATAAAAATAGCCTCCTATGTTGTTTTCTTAAAGTTCTTAATCCATCTGGAATTAGTTTTTGCATATGCTTTGAGATAGAGATCCAGTTTTATGTTTTTGACATGAATAATTAATTTTATCAGACCTAATTATTGAATAATGTATTTACCAATAATGCCTACTTTGTCGTAGATCAGTTTTCCGTGTATGCAGGTTTCTTCCCATCAGGCTATTCTGTTCAGCTGATCTATTTGTCTACTTAAATCAATACTACATTATCTTTATTACTATGATTTAATTTTGCAAATCTTGATAAGGCGCAGTGCACCTGGACTCTGACCCCAACTCTTGACCTTCTTCAGGAGTCTCTTAGCTATGTATTGGGCCCATTTTAACTGCCTATGAATTTTTAGAACTGGTTTGTCAAATTCCACAAAAACTCTAGTAGGGATTTTTATAATTGTCTAAATATTTAAATCAATTGGAGAGTCTTTCAATTCAAGAATAATATATAATCTTCCATTTATTTAGGTCTTTTTACATGTCTGCCAATAAAATTTTATAATTTTTCATGTAAATGCTTGGACATTTTCATTAGACTTATTCCGAGATGCTTTATAATTTTGTTGCTATACACTCAATTTTTTAAAGTTGCATTTTCTAACCAGACCTTCCTATTGTATAGAACACAATTTACTTTTGAATATTGATTTTTGTATTCAGCAACCTTGCTAAATTCTTATATTAATTCTAATAATTTATTTATATATTCTCTTGGAATTTTTACAAATCATATCACCTGCAAATAATGGTGGTTTTGTTTATCACTTTCCAATAACCATGCCTTTTCTTTCATTCATTCTTACTGCATGGCTAGAATATTCAGTATTCTTACTGCACAGCTAAAAGGGTGAAAACAGGCTTCCTTACCGTATTCCTGATCTTAAAAGGGAGGCTCTCATTGTTTCACTATTTTGCAGAATATTTGTTGTAGATTATGAATTAACCTTTACCCAGGTAAGGAACTTCCCTTTTATTCTAAGTTAGTGGTGAATTTTTCTTAGGAATCAGTGCTGAAATTTATGCAGAGTTTTTTTCTGTTTGCACTTAAAAGCTCATATGGTTTTCCTGTTTTACTATGTTAATGATGAAAAATAGTTATTAATATTCATACATTAAACTTACCTTGTGTTTCTAGAATAAGCCAACTTGGTCTTGATGAATTATTTCATATACATTGATGGATTTTGTCTGTTAATTTTCTGTTCAGATTTTTTTGGTGTAAATACTCATAAGTGAAGTTAGCCTGTGGTTTTACTCTCATTGTACTATCATTTTCCACATTTGCTATCAAGACTGTGGTAGACTCACAACATAAGTTAGGAGTAGTCATTCTTTTCCATTCCTAGAGACTTTGTGTGAGATTGAAATATATATGTTCTTTGAGTATTCAATGGAAATTTGCATGGAAGTTTACTTGAATCTAGATTGTGTGTGTGTGTGTGTGTGTGTGTGTGTGTGTGTGTGTGTGTGTGTGTGTGTAGAAGGATTTCCTAAGTGTTAATTCAACTTTTTAATGGTCATAATGCTATTTTGGAATTCTAATTATTGTAAAATCCATTTTTGTAAGTAGTATTTTTCTAGAAATTTATCCATGTCTTCAGTTAGCAATTTATCATCAACTTTAATATCAAAAATTACTATCCTCCTATATATTTTGGTCTCTGAGGTAGTTGTAGTTACACTTCTGTTTTAATATTTCTAATAATTTTATTTGTATCTTCCTTTGTTTCCATGTCCTTGTGGTATTTCTATTTTATTAGTCTTTTAGACTAGTCAAAAGAACCATCTTTTGGCTTTGTTGAGCTTTTCTATTTCAGCTCATACTTCCATTATTTCCTTCTTTGAGTTTGTTTTTCTAAAACTTAAATTGGCTATTTAGTCCATTAGGCTTGAGGCTTTTTTCTGAATGTGTATGTTTAAGGCAATCAATTTTCTTCTAAGCACCTTTGTAACTGCTTCAAGTATTGCAAATACCTCCTAATTGTGATTTTTCATTTTTCATTTGCTCAGAAATAATTTTCTAATCCCTGCTACAATTTGTTTGACCAATGACTTGTTTAGAAATGCATTTTTCAATTTACAAGCACATGAGTGTTTCTAATTATTATTTTTTATTTATAACCTAATTGTATTTTGATCAGGGAAGTGCCAGAGTCTAATTTTTGGCCTAGCATGTAATCAGTTTTTATAAATGTCCCATGTGAACCTAAAGAAAATATATTTTCCTTGTTGGGTCAAGTATTCAGGTTTGTTATGTGAACTGTTCAGATCTTCTGCATACTTATTTGACTCATTGTCAGCTTGATCTATCAATTAATGAGAGGGTTCTGCTCAGATATCCCAGTAGGATGGTAGATGTGTTATTG